CACATACATCATTCTGCACAGAGAGGTTCAAACATCACACTGTAGGAACAAGAAGAAAAACATATTTTTGAGTGGAGGGGGACACAACAAAAAGTCTGCTGACTTTACCAAGACATTTTTTTACAGGACGCTTGGTAACATTTATTTATTTGATTGTCTCTTATTTTAGATACATACAATGCTTTTCTTAAGATGCCTGATAACATTCGATACCTTTAAATATTTCATTGCTTTACTGGCACTACACATGACACTATTGTGGCCAAAGGTGTGACAATGCAGTTCCTGTCACAGTTCTCCTTTCCCACAAACTAACTGTATGGTCTATTAATGAGTGTAGCCTGCGTTCCAAGGATGGATGAAGCACTCGAATCCTTGTGTAAATGTAACAGTATCTCACAACACAAAAACTCCCTAAAGTCCTGCATTAAAATATGTGTCTAAAGATGTATAATCATTTAACACAACAATTGATACCTTTAAATTTTTAATGTAATTTAACACATGACTGTGGCCAAAAGGTGTGACAGAGCAGTTCCTATCACAGTTCACCCTCCCACCACTTGAGATGTGTGACGTGTGAAATGTTTTTCTTTCAGAGGAATTTTTTTATTTTGGTAGAAATTTTATCAAATTTGTTTTATCTTTTGTTTTTGGAAACTACATCACAGAGTTGTTGAGTCAGACAGACAGACAGACAGACAGTTATTTCTTTGCTATGCCCAGTTTAACTTCTCATGAAACTGTGTTTCTAGGTGGTACTAACAGTATGCTCTATTGATTACTAGTGGAGCAGTGCATGAAGTACGTCCTTGTGTAAATGTAACAAATGTAATCACACAAAAAACGTATCTAAGTTGTATGATCAGCAAAAGGTAGGCTATGAAAAGTTATATCATTATAATTATTACATTATTGATCTGTTACTCATGCATTTACTTGTGATCAGCATTTTAATGGTGTATTTGGTTAATGTTGAGCCAATTTTGAGTTGTGTAAAGTGTAAAGCTGTCAAATATATACAGTAAAGTGGAAAATATTTTCCTCTCAGCTGCAGAGGGGTAGAAGCGTAAAGCGTCTTGTATAATTGGTTAGGGTTAGTGGCACACTAAAGTGGCACAAAAATACTAAAGTTAAGCAGGAGCAGCTCTAAATATTTGTATTTTTTTTATAATTGTTGGGTACTTTCTGTCACACACGCACACATAAGGTTTAACATTTGAACACAATAACCCTCTGGTTTAATGTTAGAGCTCATTATGTTCGTTACAAACACATTTAACACCATACACATTCCATCGAAGTAGCGGCGAGACGAATGGTTTTGTCCCGGTCGGGCGCTCTCTGATTGGCTGTGGCAGCTGTCAGTCAACAGGCTCTGCTCTCTCATTGGCTGTCTGTCCTCTCCATTAGCCTGGAATGCACCGTGCTTCAGTTTGGTTTGGGATGGTCTCTCTGTCGCTGTAGCAGTCAGCCGCTGTTATTGATGTTTTTTTTCCTCGACATTTCCATGGTAACTGTCCTGTCTAAGGTCTGATCAGCAGCGAGGAGCCGAGCAGTGTATGAGAAATGGAGCTGGAAGAAAAAAACCCGGACCCTAAATACGGTAAGAACAGCTTTATGATACTGCTTTTCTCCTCGATCTTTGCTTTTTCTCAAACGGGCGAAGAAATGGAAACAATGACTGCAAGGGATGGAAGGGTGTGGACCTCATGGGTCTTATGCAGATCTGCACTCATCCTCATCCTCCTCAGCCGGGTTATTTTCCAGAGGACTTCTCATCAGTAATCTTTGGAAATTTCTATTTACTTAAGTTAGTATTTCATTTTTCATTTGACAATACATGAATACAATAAAGGGGAACCTGCTGTAGATGGGTGGTTGTATGTAGCTGGTTTGCCCTATTTCACACACCAAATATTGCTTAAAATGAAACCTAAAGTAGGCCTTCAGTTATGGTTGGTATATGGTTTATTGTTACTGATAACACAGGCTCATAAAGAAAAGTAGGTTAAGGTTGTCTTGGTAGGCCTATGTCTAATTAGCTTTATATTCCGGTTATAGTGTACTGCAGTGAAAACAAGGCCACAGAGGAGGAGTAGATAGTGTATTAGATTTATTGGGTTTCCCCGTTTTGTAGATTGACATATTGTCATTTCATCCACCCACAGATGCTCACATAAACTTCACCCACATTCATTGCTTTTCACACCATTTTGTTGCATGCCTACATATTAAGGAAAATACATCCTCTATATACCAGCCAAAGACATGACTCATCACTGATTATTATGTGTGTCACACATGCATTTTCCCCTCCAGCACCAACTTATCAGCCCACAGAAGCCTAGCGTGGTCTTCTCGTGTCTGGGCTGGGTTGTTGTTCATATGGACTGTTGAGTCATGAAGTTTTTGCAACCAGTGTTATTCTTGCTTTAATACCCTATGTCAGTGTTATTACATGAGAGGATGGCCACAGACCGCTCCTAAGCAAACCACAGTCTTCACACTGGTATTCCATAGGGAGGACGACACTAATGCTGCCTAACTGTTGAGTTAATTCTTCTTTCACAATGTAGGATGCTCCTAACAGCCCACACCCACAATGTTAAGTGTGCGTCCTCTTCAGTCAACCTGTGGAGCTCCCACTGTGGAGCATTTCCCCTTGTTGTTTTCCTGTTGCCATGTAAACAGCTCTTTTTTCTCAGCTCCCCTCCCCCAACAAGGCTAAAAGGTCAAAAACCACAACTGGAGATAAAGGTTTAATACACAATACACATTCCAGCTCGTCAGTATTCTTAAACAGCAGTTTTTATTTGCAGACTTTGGCCTGTGCAGTCCCTGGTTTCCTGCCCCTGTTACTACTACTACATTTCCTTCTGTCTAGGTGTGCAAGCAGGCAGGCTGCAGCCTGTCGCTCTACCCACTCAGCAGACACAGTCAGGAGACTTCCAGTCAATATTAAGCTGACAAACTCAGAACCATTACCAAACACACTGCATGTACACACATCTGCAAAAGCACGCACAGAGCAATTTCTACAGAATGTTTCACAATGAGCACTTGTCATTTGGTCTTGGAAAATCAGACAAACTCATTTGATGAGGAGTAGAGAGAGAGATAGTGATCTGAGTTGTTGTAACTATAGTACATAGTTTCTGTCAAGTCCCATATATTGATCATCTTTATCTACATACCCCAAATAGAAAGATAAAAATGTAGGAAGAAGAGCAGAGAGGAAAATATATACTCAAAATGTCTCCTTGGTGTACAGTCCGCATGCACGTACACACACATACACATTCATACACATTCAAACACACACACACACACTCACACACAACCACAGTGCCCACTAACCCATTAAGTTAGCCAGGGAAAGCTTCATCTGATAACCCCTCTGGGCCCATTAGTGAATCACATCAGTCATGACATCATCACTTCCTTTAACACACACACACACACACACACACACACACACAAATACACATACACTCAGCCGTGATTAGAGTAACGTATCATATCATCAGCAGGAGCAGAGACCGTATGACTCCACTTTTAACATAAACACATTATATACTGTATAGGATCACTAGGGTTTGGGTTAGGTTTGCCAGACATATTGAACTCCATGTGGACCTGTATGCAGACTGACATCGTCTGGAAGGGCCTCTGGGTTTTCACCTTTAGGGCCCCTCGAGTATGTAATGAGCTACTGGAGGAACCCATGGTCCCCAAATGAAAACACCATAACATTTATGCCTTTTAAAAACATCTCTTCTTAAAGGTGCTACATTCAGATTAACATCAGAAAACCAATATCACGGTAATTTTGCCAATTAAATAAACAAACAAGACCATTTACAAGACATTTGGCAGCCTTTACACAACAAATCTGCTGGAATGCTTTCAACACAATCAGATATTGTTTTATGGCACAAAGCGGGCAGCTCTGATGGAGCTGTGTCTCTCACAATCACAGATGGTCCTACAAATGAAAGGCTGCTGGAAAAATCACTTTCAGTGTTTATCCCCTTCAGTAAAGGGAAAGAGAGAAAACGTATACACACAAACTGATGGCATGGAGGTAGAGCAAACAGCAACAGAAAACCCTTCTAACGTTTTATATAAATACTGTGTAAACAATCCAAACCAGTGTCTCACTGCATCTAGAATACTAAACACCTCAGCACTCAGACCCCCCGCTGTTTTATGCACCTGTTATGTGCCGGTACGTCTTTATGATGCAATTATTATGGTTAACAGTAATTTCTCAACAATTGGAATCTAAAAGTTAAAATACACAATCCATGACTTAAAAAACAAAACTTTCCCAAAACAGACAACATATTTAATAAATAATTGTAAAACCCAGTCAATACAAGGATACTGATATCATTAGCCCATTTTAGATTATATTATTGGTCCATAAGTAACAAGAAATTGCAGTACAGGGGGATTAATCTAGTCCAAAGCTAACAAAACCCACCAGCACCTCTAAAACTTAACATTTTATATCTCGTGTTGCAGTTTTTAGGGGCTGTCACGTGCTTGAGTCCAGGAAGTTACTGCTCCCAGCCAAGATATAGTCTGGCACATAATGGCAAATTATTGTTTTTGAGTTTTGGTTTTTGTACAGATTATCAAATTAGACATAAATTGAGTTTAAGACGAGCTGGTAGACAAATATGTTTCCTTTGGCCAGAGCCAGACTAGTTGTGTCCCTCTGTTTCAGCCTTTATGCTAAGTTACTGTCTCCTGGCTGTAGCTCTATACTTATACCGACAGACATGACAGTTGTATTGATCATCTAACTGTCAACAAGATAGCAAATATGCAACCTTCTCAAAATGTTGAACTATTTCTTGTTGATATCAGCCTCACAAATCCAGCATCTGTTGTGCTTCAGTATCAGTTAAGGAAACTGAGTTTCTTAAGAAGCAGGAGTTTGAGTTTGTATGGGCAAGGACATGGCACTGTGTATCTAACAGGCACATGTGTTTGGTCAATAGTTAGTATTGTATTTCATGCTATGGCATGCTGTCAGTCCGTCACATGACAGCAGAAGTGGGCAGACCAGACACGGGCTTGTGCCAACAGAGAACCAGTAGGGCGGTCTTATCTCTGATGTACAGTCCAGCTCACCGCCTCGTATGTCAGGCACACACACAGGGCATCATAACCAAATCATTGTCTTAACAATGCATGAAACCATTTCAAGAAATCATTGTTCATTGTTGAGGAAGTTAGTGATATGAAGTTTGAATATATAAGCACTTTGGGTGGAGGGGTGTGGTCGAAGTGCTGTGACAAGCTGAAAAATATGGCTTAAAGTAGAAACAGGAAACTGAGAAAGCACTGAGAGGAGGCCATACATATTACTGGAAATGGGTTAAACATAAAACTGTTAAGTTTGCAGTATTTAATAGTGCTGTGTTCTTTCCAAAGCCCATGTCCAGTGCCTTGTTGTGAGAGTGGTACTTGTTTGGACATGTGACTACTGTTGCACACTGAAAACAGCTGTAACAAGCAAACAGTGAACACTAAAATAACTGTTTATGGTGGCGGAGTGAAATACTGTTTTGATTTCAGAACATGTCCCTGTAGTCAGATGTCTTAAGTCAATTTTGGCAACAGCAGGTTCACAGGCGCCACAAGTCTTTGTTGCTGTTGCTGCTCCTCTCTCAATTCCCCCATCAAAACTGTTTTCACTGCAATTCCCCCGACAACTCCTGAGCCAAGAGAGGGGCCGAAGAGAGTAGGAGGGAATAGGCGTCGAAGCTTTGAATACACTGAAAGAAGGAAGTGGAGAGTAAAGGGTTGCATGATGTAGACTTCATACAGGAAGGAGACATAAAGAGACAACTACAACACAACAGACAGGGAGAAATTTATAAAACCACCCATGACAGAAACAATAACGACGGAATGACAAAATACGACGGACGAGGTACTGTGACAGCCGTGGTTTATGTTGAACTGAAGGTTAATTTGTTGCTTACTTGTTAATAAGGTCTTATTGACGTTTTTAATGTGTCAAACAACAGCTGCACTGACTAATGGCTCATGGCTCGTTCACTTATTGTGATGGTTATTGGAGTGCTTTAAGTTAGAGATGTAATGATACACTCAACTCACGATTCGACACAATTCACGATACTGGGTTCACAATGCAATTGTCCAATATTTTTTTTAACAAAATGAAATTGAAGACAAATTATGACTGAAAAAGATTATTTCATTTCCCAGACAAATAACTACAAAATAAATGTTCTCTTATATTTTCTTTATCAAATCATAGAATCATTTTCTGTTTCTGTGGTAGTGTATGCGGATTGATTCACGTTATATGTCTGAGGGAGAGTATATACTGTGTGAAACAGTGCATATTTCCTTTTCTTTGCACAAGTGAAACTTAAGTCTTTGCACCTTCATACCACAATTGATTTCACCATTCATCTTGTCATCTCACCAATTTGAATCTTCACATATTTGTATCAGCAGTTTAACTGTACAGTGCACTTTTAATTTCCCATTTACCAGCAATGTGTTTCTGATGGTTCCAGTTGGGTCATGGTGCGGTGTGTGGGCAGTGTGTGTATGTGTGTGTGAGTGTATTAGCAGTGTGTGGTGTAGCAGACATACTGCATGTAAGCACAAGGCAGTGACAGCAAGTAGCTGGTCTCACTTCTGACTCCCACATTGCGTCTGTGACAGGGCTTAAAGGACCGTTAAATGCTACTTCATCATGTGACATGCCAGACATTTGCAGTAATGTGACAGGATGTGTAACAGAGTTATCTAACCAGAGGATGTTGCTTGAGGACATTATGTTTACTGAATTCTTCAAGCTGATTTCCTGTCTAACACATATTTTTGAGTTGTAACTTAGACCTCTGACTGTGAGCGATGAGCACATTCATACTCACTGTTCCTTTAAAATGCTGACTCACAGTGTTAGCTCATCATGATCACTCACTCTAGGCAGTGGGCTTGGTTGATGTTTCTCCTCTGCCGTGTCTGAGGTGTGTGACACCGTCGCCAGGGAGCCATTTTGTGGGTTGCTAGGCATGACAGTCAGGCAGAAGAATCCTTTTGTTCAGGAGGCTGTCCTGCCCTTGTCAATAATACATGGACTTATTATATATTGTACTCATATCTCCTGCACAGAGAGTGCTCTTTGTGTGCACCCATGCACTGAACTTATTTATACACTCCTCTGTAGATATTAATAAAGTATCAATAATTTAAAAAAAGAGATTAGTTTGTGTAATCAGTGTCAAAAACAACTGATGTATAGCTTAGTTTCAGCTTGCTTTAAATAGCTACTTATATAACCACCATGAGACAAGCACTTCAAAGGTATTCATAGGAAATCTATTGCAGCAAAGACCACCGTTTAACCATCAACTATATTATCATTACTGTTCAGTGGAATCGTATTTCAACAGTGATGCCATACCATGACATATTACCATATCTGAGACGTATTCCTTTTAAAATTGTGATCTTAATTTCAATAACAGTATCAGCACCCAAGGGATTCAGATATTGTTATTTGGCCAGTGCGATGGGTGTTTGAACCTTTCCCCAGTAGGTGGTGGTTAACAGGTTCACAATTAGACGGTGGCACAGCGGTTAGTGGTTAGCCAAAACAGTTTCTGAAGTGACACCGCTGGATTTTTCTCAACTGGCCTTAATGAGTGTATGATAGTCCCATTACAACGAGGGTAGAATTCAATATATTTACAAAATAATTTTCAGTCAGACACTGACAAGCCTGTTGTTTCTTCTTATCCACAGGGGAGTCCAGGAAGTTTGACCCAAACTTCAAAGGGCCAATTTACAACAGGTGAGACGTCTGTTTAAACTGCTGATCATAATTATTTTCTTTCTGATCTACAAGACACCACTAACAGTATTTTTCCTCCTCAGGGGCTGCACAGATATCCTCTGCTGTATTCTCTTCATCTTAGCCTTGTTCGGGTACTTTGCCGTGGGCATCCTCGGTAAGACTGATCCTCCAATATGTAATTTATTGGACACATGATGATGGTAGAGAAACCCTACTTATATTATTGCTTAATGTTTATTATTTATTTTATATATTTAAGACCATCAAAATTAACGACTGTTCTCCGGTACGACATGGTTTATTCTTGCATTCAACAGGGTGGTGTATAAGGCTCTTCCCCGATCCCTTAGATACAGCGGGTCTACCATATATACTATTATAACATTGGCCACCAATACAAAACATGATACAGCATACATGTGTGTTCTGATTTTGATCTCTGGTCCTCTTCTCAAAGTGAGGAATCGTTTACATATTTAAGACGTAATGCTTTGTCTGTTTGCCTAAAATGCAAACCTTTTTCCATGTCATTAATACAATATGAACAGAGTTTGTCTTTACGGACTGGAGTTTTATTTAAATGTCACTTGTTGTCAGCAAGGAACTAATTCATACAACCAGTTAATTTTGTAGTTTTTCTCAGTATGTGTGACATTCCATTTTTATTATTTATTGTCATTTGAACTAATGTTCAGAATTTAATTCTTCTCCATGCAGCCTGGTCTCAGGGTGACCCCAGGAAAGTGATCTACCCCACAGACAGCAGGGGGCAGTTCTGTGGACAAGCTGGAACACCTCTGGAGTGAGTTCAGTATGAATGTGTTTGTCTACAGTGAATGTGTCCATTTAGACTATCTTGTGTATTTCAGATAATGATTGGTATTACTGTAATCTGATTTGGGACTTAAGAGACATTTATTTATGATACAGGCCAAATAATAGTTTTGTTTCGTTGTTCTCACGTGACAGGAAGAAGCCTCTTCTGTTCTACTTCAACATCTTGAAATGTGCCAGTCCTCTGGTGCTGCTGGAGTTCCAGTGTCCCACCACACAGGTCAAATATGATTATCTACTTATATTTTATGTTCATTGAAAATTTTGTTTTACTTCTTAACAAGCACGTTAATTCACAACCTTGATTGTATGTTTTTATTGTGTCCAGTTATGTGTGGAAAGCTGTCCTGACAGGCATTTGACATTGGTGAAAGCCAAGCTAAACAGCAAAGATCATGAATACTACAAACAATACTGTAAGGAAGGAGTGGACTTTGCCAAATTGGTACGTATTTAAGTCATTTGAGTATTCAAATTTATTCACAGTGGCCCTGTGAAATGCATTACAGTACAATAAAGATGTTTTTAAAAGTGCATTGAAGGCTGTTTTACATGATACAGAGTCCTCCTGAGATTTTGAGGGATAGTTTGTGTCCGGCCATGCTGATGCCCAGTAAACCCTGTAAGTGAGGAGCTTGTTTCTCTTCTGAACTTATTTCATTTTCACCCACACTGGAAGCTGCTGTGTCTGTACGACTGTTGTTCACGTGTGAAACTGAAACATATAAAACCATAAATGGATCATCTTTTCCCTACACAGTCACCCGTCGCTGCCTTCCTGCCCTGGGAACGATGAAAGGCGGAGTGGTGGTGGTGGGCAATGAGACCACTTTTGATGACGGAGAAGGCACCACCGTCAATGCCACAGATGTGCTAGAAGCATCCAAGTGAGTCCTTTTCACTGTATGGCAACACACATGTACACACATAATATGCTGATATTATAACATTAATCAGTCTGGTTATGCTGCACAATTGCAGAACTGTTTGATTAACACACCGGTACGATCCTGTTATAATTTCACATTATCTCAACTCTAAAAGGCTCTGAAATGACCTACAGATGCTCATTAAATGTGTGAAATTTGCTGGATAAATCAGCAGGGGTCCCCTGAATGCAATAACCACTGACTGTTCAGGAAATTAGTGCTGAAACAATTACTCATTTAATCATCATGATTAATTGACAGAAAAGTACCATTTTGACCATTTTGACAATAAGTTTATAATTGTAAATTGAATCCCTTTGTGGGGAAATTGTGACATTTTGCTGTTAGGTGGCTAAATGAACCAGTTCAGGATCGATGCTCGACAAATCTTGCATCACATCCCCATCATGTTTCACTACAGTGTCCAATTTAAACGTGTTTATGCTCTTGTTTACTCGGTATGCTGTGTGTTTGGTACAGTGTAAGCCTGCTTTGGTTCTCCTCTATTTGCATGAACCCTGGAGGGTGTTTATGTCAGCGTTTTTTATCAGCGTTTTTCCCACTGGGGAGGTTCCCTGCATGTTATTTATCAAGATGATGAGTATTACAGGCTGTTGTATGTTGTATTCTTGTATTCAAATTATTTGCCATATTAATTTCCAATGAGACATGACTAGCCTGATAAATTAATAACTTGCTACAATTCCTTTGTAGCAAGTCACTTAAGAATGAATTACAAACTCCATTATTTAAGTAAATTAAGAAGTTTCATGTCTAAATCTACAATTATCTTGGCTAAGAAGCCCAACCTTGCCAACCAATTGCTTTAACTACTGTAACACTGTAGCATATTTTGTGAGGTTCAGTGCTCCATACTTGGCAGCTGTACAATGTTATTTTGGAGTGCTTCTCTTTTTCGTCGTCTTTTTTTTTTTGGTTTGTTTTTAATTAAATTTCCTTTGTAACAGGAAGTCAAATGTGGTTGTTGAAGCTCGCCAGGTGGCCATGAGAATCTTTGAGGACTACACGCAGTCTTGGCACTGGATATTACTGTAAGTCTGCCTACTTCCTCCTGGTTACAATAACAGAAATGTGTTTAGAACATCACAACGAGAGACAAAAGATTTACAGGAAAAATAACACCAGTTTATTTCTTTCTTATACATTAACTGTTCTTTATAGCCACTGAACAGATTCAGTCAGCCAATTCACGGCAGTTATCATTGCTGTTAAATGTTTTTGAAAAATATCCATGACAGAAACTGCCAAGACAAAGATTACAGGCAAAAATGCTAAAATACTCAGTTGTTAACTCTGTTACAATGTTTGATGTGTCCAACCTTTCCAGTGGCTTGGTGATCGCCATGGTGGTCAGCTTGATTTTCATTGTCTTGCTGCGATTCCTGGCTGGCATCATGGTCTGGGTCATGATTGTTTTGGTTATTCTAGTCATCGGATATGGTAAGTCTTCAGCCTCTGGAGATGCTAAAGTTGTTATCTGCTTATATTAAAATGAAAAACATGTAAATATTATATTATTTAATATTTTTAACATATTTTTAGGGATTTTCCACTGTTACATGGAGTTTGCGAGTCTGAAGGGAGAGCCGGGTGCTGACGTTACCATCCGTGACCTGGGCCTGCAGACGGACTTCTCTGTCTACCTGCAGATCAGACAGACCTGGCTGGCCTTCAGTACGCACAGACACACTTTTTATTCTTAAACACATCTCTGTATGAAGTGTTTATGAATTCTGTTAATCTAATGCCTTCACTGTTTTGCAGTGATCATCCTGGCTATTGTGGAGGTCATCATCATCCTGCTACTCATCTTCCTCAGGAAGAGAATCCTGATTGCCATCGCCCTCATCAAAGAGGCCAGCAGGTCAGTCTGAATCCCAGTCTGGCATTGTACAGCGTCATATTTTAAAGCTGCCCTAATCAATATTTTTAGAATTACAATCGATTCAATTACTATTATTAAGCTTATTATTATGTGTAAGCTTGTAGTGAGTTTGCAGTGTTCCTCACCTCTACAAAGCGATTCAGTGTCTTTCAGCTCTTTGTTTTGGATTTATGGATTACATTTGCTAACACATTTACCATAACAACATTATATGGTAATAATATGTCAATGTTGTATTTGCTTCTTGTTTTGCTGCCCAGAAAAGGTGAAAAAATGAATGAATGCTGCTTTAATTTGATTGCTTCTGTTGTCAGAACACTAAGATGAGACCTTTAGTTCTTACACTTAATATTACTGTAAAGCTGGATATATACTTGCTTTTTATCCACACGTTTGTGTTGCGTACACAGTGTGCACAACTACAGGTCCAAAAGGAAGTATAGTTCTTGTCTAAAGGAGTGCTAAGCTGAGTTTCTTTGTTTGGGGAGCTTTTACCCAACTGTTGGAGACTATTATATCTAAACTTATTGACATAATGTTTTGATTGTTTTTCAGAGCTGTTGGGCATGTGATGTCTTCACTGTTCTACCCACTGCTGACCTTTGCCCTCCTGGCCGTGGTGATTGCTTACTGGGCCATCACTGCTGTGTATCCTTTCATTTGTCCACATGATGATCAAAGATGGTCAAAACATAAATGTGTCATTTTATAGTTATTCACTCAGTCAGTCTTTTTTTTTTTTCACGTTCCATTGCACAAGACTCCACACTGCATAGGTTTTTATTCTTACGATATTTTATGCATTTTGGGTTACAGGAAAAGAACGAAGAAAATGTGACAAAAGATAATTCCACACTAAAGAAAGTAAATATGTTAGGGTGTAAAAAAGATTTTAAAATAGATAAAAGAAATTACAAAAATTGATAAATACTTACCTAAATTAATGAAATGGACAACCTGATAATTTTAATAATCATCTATATTAATTAGCCAATTAATCCATCAGTTAAACATTTAATCCATCACATTTAGTACTTCTCAAGGCTGTACTCTATATGCTATATATACTATATGCTCTATAACTTTAATTACCTGTTTGTGGCATATTCCCATAAATAGATGTCTCTTGATTGTGACCTTTTCAGAGATTTCCTCCCTTTGTAATAATCTCCTTGACTGTTCCGACCAGTTTCTTGTCCACCTCTAATGAGCAGGTGTACAAAGTATTCAACAACTCTGAGTGTGAGTACTCACGAGAGACCTGCGACCCCAAGGTATGCGTGTGTGTGGGGTTGAGCCAAAAAGCCAAACAAATGTTCTGCTTATATTTGACACCTTTGAGGAAGAGACTATTACGTTGCTGTTTACCTGGACAGCATCACACTTTTGATCATAGTTGCCTGTATGAAATATATATAGACCTATATATAGACCTATAGTCTGCCATCTCTCTCTTTCTCCAGACATTCAACACCTCCAACATTTCAACTCAGTGTCCTGATGCAGAGTGCCTGTTTGCCTTCTATGGTGGGGAGACCCTCTACCACAAATACCTCATCCTGTTCCAGTTCTACAATGTCTTCCTCTTCTTCTGGTGCGCCAACTTTGTGACGGCCCTGGGCCAGGTCACTCTGTCGGGGGCCTTCGCCTCGTATTACTGGGCCTTCAAGAAGCCTGAAGATATCCCTGCCTTCCCCATCTTCGCCTCGCTGGGACGGGCTCTCCGGTTAGATTATTTTAATTTGTACACTTATCTGTATTTGTGTATATTTAAAGCTTGTGCAAGTGGAAGTGAGGCATATGCTAAGGTCAGTAGGTGGGTTACCCTAGCTGTGCGACAGGGAGTGTTTCATGCTCACAGATGGCTTCTGTCTCCCCTTCTGTCCAGATACCACACAGGCTCCCTGGCTTTTGGCTCTCTGATCTTGTCTATGGTCCAGGTCATCAGGGTCCTTCTGGAGTACCTCGATCACAAGTTGAAAGGTCAGAAGATTTAACTTCAGAACAAGATGACTGACTTGCTAAATGACTCGACTACCCATAATTATCATATATTTATTAGAGCCTGATCAATATATCTGTTGGCTGATATTTTTTGCCAATATTGGCCTATAGCAGCCATATCCTTATTATTACAGTATCAGTGTATATGTTATCCGTTATGGTCCGATATGAAAACTGTTTAACAGTATGTTATATTGGTGTAACTACAACGTTTATCCAACAGAATGCTGCAGCAAGCAAGCATCACAGAGTAAAAGATAATAAGGAGCACTAAGCAATGTCAACTAGAATTAGTTAGTTATTATGTATATGTTAAAATATTATTTAACATATTTGTATAAGAAATCAGCTGTATGTTAACAGTCTTAATGGTGCACAGTCCACATGGAACAGGCTATTTTCTATCAATCTGTCACTATATTTATCTGTGACTTTATGTATTTAGGATATTGTTGTTAAACTGGTTAGTGATGAATCCTGGTTTTGGATATATGCATGTGTAATGTGTAATGGGTAGGTCAGAATAATGCATGTTATCTAATAAAATCTTTTCTTATTTCTTTTTAGCAAGAGGGACATGTACAGGGTATCAAAGGTGTATATAACTTAGTCAGACATCGTTTGTTGCTGTAATTGTAACATTCTCGCTCTCGTCCTTCAGGTGCTCAGAACAAGTTTGCTAAATTCCTGCTGAGCTGCATGAAGTGCTGCTTCTGGTGTCTGGAGAAATGTATCAAGTTCCTTAACAGAAATGCCTACATCATGGTGAGTTCACTTGTAACTGGTTACAGCAGCATTAAGAGATGTTGAATCTGGTGAGGTTTTAAAGTGGTAAATTGTTGTTTTTCTCCAGATTGCCATCTATGGAAAAAGCTTCTGTCCCTCAGCTCGAGATGCCTTTTTCCTTCTCATGAGAAACATCATCAGGTAGAATTTCATTATATTTATATCCACAATTTATAATTCTATAATCATTAAACTGCAACATTTATAAAATGTTTAATCTATTCTGGTTTAATTTGCTTATTTGCTCTCAAAGTCTTTAACTGTACCCATTTCCACATAGGGTGGCTGTTTTAGATAAAGTAACTGACTTCCTGTTGTTTCTTGGGAAGCTCCTCATCGTTGGAATTGTTGGTAGGAGAGCTTTTATTCTTATATCAAAAGTGTCGTCTGTTCTCTAAACAGAAGTTCTAGTTTAAATCCACTAATTCACTCTTTTTCTGTGCAGGGATCTTCTCTTTCTTCTTCTTCTCTGGAAGAATTAAAGCAGTGGAGGAGGCTGCTCCATCTCTGAACTATTACTGGGTGCCAATACTGGTGAGAGAGTTATATTTGTGTGATTTGATTCTTTGAGCTCACCGGTGGGCTTTGATGCAACAGCAGAGGTCTTGATGTATGTGTTTTTCTCGCCTAGACGCTGGTAGTGGGATCCTACCTCATCGCCCATGGCTTCTTCAGCGTGTACGCCATGTGTGTGGACACACTGTTCCTCTGCTTCTGTGAGTAACTTTGTATTCATCCAGGTCTTCTCTCTTCGTCCTCTTGTTTTCAAGCTCTCATAAAACTGTCAAAAGCTGACATGCTGGTTTCTTCTTCCTGCCATGTTTCTGATTCTTCTTCTCTTTTGTCTCATTTCTCCCATTAATTTACCTTATTTTCACACATTCCCTATTTCATGTTTTCATTTCCCCCTGATTTTCCATTAACCCACTCAAAAACACAAAATACGCATACCCTGCACATGCAAAAGGTGAGGACTTGGAAAGAAACAACGGCTCGTCTGAAAGGCCTTACTTCATGTCCCCCGAGCTGCACGAAATCCTCTCCAAAACAAAGAGGCTGGAGGAAAATGGCGATGCTGTTGAGCAGGCGGATTCTGCCAAGCCGGCGGACGAGGTGAAGTTGGAGGAAGAGACCCCTCTTCAGCAGCAACAAGACGGAGAGATCCAACTTAAACAGCAGACAGTGCTAAAGCAGGACAACGAAGAGGAGCAGCCTCTGCAGTCCAAAACGGATGCCGAAGAGCCAAAAGAGGAGAAAAAAGAAGAAGAAAAAGTAAGCGAGGCAGAGGATGCTGAAAAGAAAGAAGAACCGGAGGAAAGAGAAGAGGTGAAAGAAGCAGCAGAAAAGCAAGAGTTGAAACAGGAGGAAAAGCCTGAAGAGGTGTCGCCTCCTGCTGTGGAGGCTGAGAAAGAGGAGACTGGTGAAAAGAAAGAGGAGAAAGACGAAGAAAATCCACCGTCTGCACCACAGGAGTAGACGTTAGCAGTAATGTAAGGGCAAAAATAAAAAAACAAGGTGTGGTAAACCTCATAAAGCATTAAGAATGAAAAAACTGTACTGCAACTTTGTGATATGGACCTGTTAAATGTACGGCATACAACAAGCTAAAATTTCAGATCGCCTTGCTATTTGAGTGGTGTGACGTCAAGCTGGAGAAGGTCGTGGAGGTCGTGAAGGTCGAAGCAGGTCAAAGCCCAGTGCATCTCTGTAGCTTGAAAAAATGCTCTGTTGTGTTGGTTTTAGAACAGTGTTGGTTTTTATATTGTGAAGATCTGTAGAACTTTGTGAGTGCTAAACCTGTGCCTGATTACTGTCACTAATAGTTATTGTCTTAATCCTGTTATGCACTACAGAACCACCAAGTACCGTGTTTACAGTCAGAACAAACACATCTCAATCGATGGTGAATCTCTTTCACTGTTTACAATAATACCAGCTGACGCCAAAATGTTACAGACATATTTGATATACTGTATGAATATTGGATCTTTTTTCCGTTATGGGACTTGTATATATACAGTAGTGTATGTCCATTATGTATTTTTTGGCTTCAGTCTAGATGGGATCCCATGTATTGTATTGCCACCTACTTGCCTTGGTATTTCGGACTGGCGTAAGTGCTGTGAATGTCTCGCCATGACGCAGCCTTTGTGACCTCTCTGCAGACCCCAACAGTTGTTTACTGATCCCACCTGCCTTGCCCTGTCCCTGTCCTCTCTCTGTCTCTCTGTCTTTCTAAGTGCTGCATGGTGTTGACATGGCCTTCTGAATGCTCGCGGCTAACATCTTAAGTCTCTGGATGCTTTTGTACTTTTTTCCCCTGTTTGTCAACTTGTGAAAGATGTAAGTTGATTTTCCACTAAAATTACTGATGACATTCCATATTTATTGGATGTAAATCTTGATTAAAGGTGATTGTATTTAATCATAGTAGTTCTGTTATGGGTAAACACATGAGTTTCAAGGTGGTTTGGAGTTTTGAAAACAGGTGAGTTTGCATTTCCAACAAAGTCAGCCCGAACTTTGATTTTGTCTTAAAGGGGCACTCCAACAGTTTTACATGTTAAATTCACTTTACTTGTAGAGTCCTACTCTTTTCTTAGGCTCTGGAGGATGAATTTTTTTACTCGTTGGGATTGGGGGCTACACATTTTCACCATAAAGCCTGTGTTACATACTGGGGCCCTAACATTTTAAAGGAGTGTGCATACAACAAGATAACAAAAAGATTTGCATTATGGGAATTATAGTATCGTGAGTTTTAAGAACTTGAGCCATCTTAGGGACTAAAATCAGAATATCTTTGGCTCTACGACATTGATTTAGAGCAGTGGATCCCAACATTTTTGGCTTATGATGTTAAATAAAGCAATGTCAATGTCCTAATCTAAGGATTTTTAGATACCTGAAGAGGCAGTATCCAGAATATTTGGAGTCCCTTCTAGAGGCCCAACCTGCAGATTGGCAGTAGTAAAGTACCTTAATGCCACCTGAAAACATTGTTTTTGCTGACCTCTCGTGGTTTATCTTATCACCTTGCTGGAGGGATGTTCAGGTTTTCTCCAGGACTCTGTGACTCTGTTGTGTGTGGTTACGAGCAGAACAAAGCACACTTCAAACCACACCCAACAGACTTGAAATTTTCAGGAAGAAATCAAAACACTGCTTTCAGCCTGGTGTTCAGTTACTCTTCAACTGTTTCCCTTACCTCATGGAAGTGCAGTATTAAATTACTGGAGTGCCCCTTTAATTCTTAACCAGCTGATAGGCAAAACATATATCATGCACCGACTTTCTAAATAATAGATGGTCAATGCATGAATACAAGAACAGTTAAAATTACTTAGTGTTAGCATGCTGTTGATAAAATGTTGTTTAACTGCTTTTGTTCATGTCACAGTGGAGGATCTGGAGCGCAACGATGGATCAGCAGAAAGGCCGTATTTCATGTCGCAGAACCTGCTCTCCCTCCTGAAGAAATCCAATGAAGAGCCCAAATCTGTAGATTAAGTCACAGTTTTGTGTTTGTTTGTGTGTGTGCGTGCGTGCGTGCGTGCGTGAGTGTGAGTGTGTAATGTTTTTAAGTTCAAATCAACAAAAAGAGGAATTACAGTGCTATTTCCTGTGTACAAATGTGTACAGTGTCTTTCTGCCAAATGGAATTAATTTCTGTTGAGTGTCATTTAGTTTATGTGGAACTTTTGAAGGGTCCAGTATCTTTGAGTGAGATCTCCAATTAATGGCAGATGTAGTGTGTTAATACATGAGTAAAGCTGTGCTTTATCCATTTAATTTTGCATATTGCACTGATTGAAATTAGCTCACCAAAGCAAAGTTGTTAAACTGCAGGCGATTAAAAGCTTAGTATGATACTCAAAGCCTTAAGAGATTACAAATGACCCAAGTGGTTTTACTTGGATTTGCAGTCATTATTTTTAACGACTTGTTCTTTTTGTTCATTCTCTCCACTGAACACCAAACATATCAATGAATAATGTGCAAATTTTGAGTTTTGTTGTATATTAATAAAAGTTTGTGTTGCCATATCAGTGTTCAGAATAAAGAATAAGCAATGTATACAGAAAAGTACAATTTGAAATACAAGAGCATTAAATATTTTAAAAATAAATAAATAAATAAATGTAACAAACATGTATTGTGTACAGTCATATAACAACATATAGTTTCAGGTATTAAATCTTTAAAATGGTCATAAATGGGCAATATAGGCCTAAAGTAGTATCCATACACAGCTTACAAATTGTAGGCTGTATTTCAGGCTGAACGCTTCCTGTATTTGTCTGTAGCATTTAGTCATTGCTTTTTTCACAGGAGCAGGGTTCCTGGTAGCTATTGATATTTCTAAAAGAAACTGCATTTAATGTTGAAATATTAAGTAACCAGAATAAGCATATGGACCTAAGTTACTGCTTTAGTGAATTTTATTCATCACATAAACACCATGTTTTGATGATAACCAATGAGGTCACTGTTGCAGTCTGTATATTTCATCATCGCAGGAGCTCGGCACACACAGGGTTAATTGGAGCCTCGCTTTGGTGTAAGTGTACATGTTGCTAGGCAACACCGGAGCCTACAAGAGCTGTTGGTTTAGTTCAAGCCAACACTGACTGCTGGCATAGGTTTCTTTGCTAATTGTGTAAAACAGTAACAAGACAGAAATGCCGTTCAGTGCGGACACGGTTAAACCTCCGCTGCATGACCAAATAACGGAGATGCAGCGTAAAATCCAGCTACTGGGTGAGTTTGTTTCTACTACTTTGAGTTCTGATTTCAGTTCTTGTTAAAGGAAGTGAGTTTTGCTACAAGTAGCTAGGTAGCTGTCATATATAGGTTATTATGTGACTAGCCACTGCAAACCCAAAACTAAATGCAACAGAAAAAGCAGTTAATTAGTATTTATTAGGCAATAATGAGACAATTTCTCCATTGTCATTGGTATAACCATTAAATGTGTCCACCAGAGGGCGACAGAACTGCCTACTATGAGAGCTCTCAGTCCACCATCAAGAGAAACACCGAGTCCATCCGCCAGCTGAGGCAGGACAACAAGAGGCTGTACAGACAGCTGGCAGAGGTCAATGCTGTAAGTCCCAGCTCTTCACAGTGAACAGTAAAACAGATCATACCTGACTTTCCTCACAATGTCAATCTTGTTCCCTTTGAAACCTCTTTACAATATCTGTCAGTGATATTTCCACTTTATAGTATATAGGTAGTTGATGAGTAAACCGTTTATTTAATCATATTGTTTGAAATTTGTGACTAACTGCAGGCAATTACAAGGTTCGTATGATACTCAAAGCCTTAAGAGATTACACATGACCCAGGTTGTTTAACAGTGTTGTTCCCTGTGCTGTTCTGCCTCCCAGGGTGATGATAATGTCATCAAAGTGGCCTTTCATAACAGAGGCTTGGAGAAGGACGCCTACCGCAACATGTCAGGGAAGGTGAGAGGAAGGAGCATACATACTGTGTGCTAAAACGCTTCTACAGCAGCATCGGTTTGTTCATGCTTATCAGGTTCATTATATTGGACGACAGAATTATATTGTTATATTGATTATTTTCACCATAGGTTTCACACCTCAGCTATTATTAGTAGCAAGCTAACAATTAAATTTGAAATGGAAAAGAGTTCTCAGCCTTGTGTCTAATTATTTTAGTAATATAAATAATAGATTGAGACTGCTCACAAGCATACAACTCTCCCTGTTCGCCCCTCACAGTCTGCATTTCTGTCTCTCTTTTGCTCACACATCCTCTTGCTGTCATTACCCTTTTGTCAGGAAGCCCTGACAACGCTAGAACAGCGGGTGCTGTCTAAGAAGAAGCGTCTCAATGCCCTAAAACACACCACCCAGACCCACCATCGCCGCCTGGAAGAGTTAAAGATGAAATACCAGAGGATGAAACCAGAGGGCAGCAATGGAGCACAGTCTGCTGACGCTCGCACTCGGAAAAAAGAGGAAGATGCCATGGTAGTTTACCTCTCAAGCTCATGTAGAGATGTATTTTTCTTCACTCTTAATAAAAAACATGACAGAACAGTGCGAGCATGCATGCCCTGTAAACAATGCTGTGTGTCATCAGAAACTGCGGGCGCTGGAGAACAGTCTGGAGAAGACCCAGTTTAAGTGCAAGGAGGCTGAGAACATCATGACTAACTATCAGAAAATCAAAAGTCACCTGCAGGTTCGTCCAACATTTTTAGCCTCAAAATTACTCATCTTCACTTGTTGGACGTGAGGTGGGACCATCATTGCCACTGCCTCCCATAATGATTTGTGTCTAAAAAAACACTGATTGTGCTGAGCTGCCTGTGTAGAGGTTATTCTGAGAGCCTTTTTCATTGTGATTTAATAGAAGTACAAATACAGTATGTTGCATTAGCCATCAGTAGACACCGAAAGATGTACACTATGACCATTTTGAACACAGCCTGTTAATCATTTTCATTCAGGTATCATGTGCTGTTGCTCTGCAGAGTAATGGCCCGTGGTGTTGTGCCTTTGATATGGGACTTTGCGTGTGTGATATTTAAATGTTGACTGAGACTTTCCTAATGGTACAGTACTTCCTGTCCCTGGCTCACTTTACCGTTGTTTGCACAGTGCTTGACCTCCTTTTTTTATAGTAGTAGTGGTAATAGTTGAACTGATTTACAGTTACATTTTATATGTGGTTAATGTTGTTATCCAGTTCAACTTAATAGATTAAGCTTTTATTTCTAGATCACAATCTGATTAGCCAGTAATAATTAATTCAGTGGTCCTGGTGTTAGTGTCCTCCTATGATCTTATCCTTTGTAAAACACTCTCTGCTGCTCTCACTCTTTACACCCGTATTTCCTGTGCTTTCTCTCTCTATCCCTTACTTTTCCACTGTCACCTCTTCAGGAGGAGAGTCTGACTTTCCAGGGCCAGTTGGACAGTCTGGAAGCAGAAATCCTGAAGCACAGAGAGGAGCTCCACAACATGCAGGTCATGAACAACGACGCCCAGCTCTCTAAAGAAGCTGCCAAGGTGACCTTCTCTGCTACGTGTTCAAAAATGTGTGATTCATTCTAATGAAGGCGTCAGAAGATTCACCCATCATTACTGTCATACTTCGGATTTAAGTTTTATGAGTCACAAGTAAAACAGTTTTTAAGTGATTATTCCTGTTCCTTTTCATTTTGATGCATACATACAACTTACAAATACAGACACATAGCTTACCTCATCTCACCATATGTTGTTCAAACAGAATTATTTTTCTTCTCTCCCTTTGTCTTTCTTCAAAAGGAATGTGCAGATGAAGATTATGATGGGTGCCTCCTATATAACGGCCTCTATAAAAAATCCTTTATATCTATCTGAATTGTAGTCATGACAAATTCACTGCTTACATACTCACAGGTTGTTTGTGTTACCCCCTTCCCTTTCTTCTTACTGTCAGGCTGAGTTGCAGCAGCAAGAGGAATTGCTCTACAAGGAGCGCAAGGAGAGAGAGCGTATTATTGCCAGCTACAGGAAAAAGGTTGAGGAGCGCAAGGCCCAAGCTGAAAAAGTTGATAGAAGGGTGAGATATACATGGTGGTTTAAAATATACATATATATATATATGTAGTCCAGTATGTAGAATTTAGTGGCATCATTTGCTACTACGGTGCTGCGAAACTGACCAAAGCAGGTGAACGCCCCTATGAAAACATAATTATCCATATTATATTCCATTTCTGACAATAGATCCTCCTAAAGCTTGCACACTGGACCTTATATTCAAAACAGCGACATTCTGTAGGGTGAATTGAATCAAGTAATGTTTTGAGTGGTTATAACCTGTGCTGCCTTTAGGCTCAGAGAACAGCGATGCAGCCAGATGAACTGAGCAGCGAGGCCCAGCGCAGCACCCCCAGGGTGGCCGGTGAAGAGGAGAAGGCCATCTCTACTTTTGAGGAGGCCTTCAAACGCATCAAGGAGGCCACCGGAGTCACAGATATACAGGTAGGGATGTGGAAAGAGAAGGCCTATTCATCTACACATACTGTCTATGGATGTATTTATATGGTTACTATCAGTGTTTACATATATGTTTTTCTGTGTGTAGGAGATAGCGCAGCGCTTTATCTCACAGAAGGAGACACACCAACATCTGGAGAAGCTGAGGGAAGAGAACGAGAAGGTGCTGCAGCAGCTGAAGGAGCAGAAGGAGCTCCTGAGGCAACAGTTCGAGGATATGAAATATTCTGGAGAGGCTAAACTCTCCAGGTGAGACACTCAGACAGTGATAGTGGAATAAAGGCATCATGTATGAAGCCGTGTAATGCTTACTCTCAAGCCTTTACTCTGTCTCTGTGGTTTTATCAGTGACCACCAGATGCTGGAGGAG